GACGGAGGATGTGGAGTAGGAGGAGGGGCAACAACAATGATCGAACCCCTTGGATCCCGGAAACGTAACTCGATATGAGGAACCTGGTGGGACCAGACAGCTCGCCCTTGGTTTTTGATCGGCGCGGCGGGGCGAGCATATACATATTTATATATATACACACAAGACTGCAGTGGCGCTCCGCGCCATGCACCTTGGACCTTGAAGCTTGGTGTGCAGGCGGAATAGCAAGAAAGTCAAGCCGACAATTTAGCGATAACTCATTGATGACTTTTCCGGCATCGCCGCTATAATAATGTTATTCGTTATCCTTCCTCCATGCTTCTTTTTCCTCATGTTCGCCAAACCCTGCGCATTCTCCCCATCCTCCTCAGCTCTTTTTTGCGGAGGCTCCTCCTTGGAGAGCCTCTGGGGGCCTCACAAAAGCTGTTTCAAGCTTTCTTGAAGCCTTCTGGAGGCCTCCTGGGCGTATTCTGGGGGCTTCCTCGGGCCACCCTGCCTCCAACCGCGGTCTCCCTGAACGACCGGGTCACAATATGGAATGCTTCGGAGGGTATCTTGGGGCCATCTTGGGCCGCCACGGGGCTCTCTGAGGGCCATCTTGGACCCGTGTTGTACCGTTTTGGGGCTCTCTTGGACTGCCTGGAAGCCCTTTCGGATGGTTGTGGGCCGATTTTGGAGCCTCCCAGGCGGCTTCGGACGCCCAGAAGACCGCCGTCTTGGAGCGTCGGGAAGCCGAAAAGAGGAGAACCCTAAAATTCACCAAAAACCCACATAAAATCCGTGATGTTTGCCTCTTGGGGCCGTCTTGGGAGTGCTTTTGGAGGCCTCTTTGGGGCCGTCCTGAAGGCCTCTTGGGCCATCTTGAGGTCACGTCGGTCACTCTTGGAGCGCTCCTGTGCTGTCTTGGGGGTCTCTGGGACGTCTCCGATGACCCCCCTGATCGCCCTAGGTGTGCTGGGAAGGCTTGGCAAAACACCCTGCGAGGCCCGGGGGGCCGCTTCGAGGCCCGTCCGGAGGGTCCCCAAACCCCAGATCCCGAGAGTCCGGTTTTGGGGGAGGGGGGGGTCGGGTTTCCCCCCCGCCCGGGCTTGTAAAAATATAGGAAGAGGAATATATACACACATCCCCAAGACGAATGTTTGTTCCTCTTGGGCCCAGAACGACGGCTTGAAGTCTTGAGCAGACGCGCATGAGGTAACCGCCGTCGGATCACATGAAGTTCGCGCGGATCAAAGTGTGGCTTTGGTGTTTTGTTTCGGTGGATCCGATTTCCGTCCTCGCGGATCCGATTTCGTATTTGCTGGATCCGTGTTCGGTCTTATATTTTACGGCGGATCCGATGTTTACCCCGCTTCAAATTCATATTATTCAAATTAAATCGGGAAGACGGGAAAATCGAATCCGCGGATCCCGGAATCCGCCCGTGTAAAGGCTCTATGGGGGAAGGGGGTTCGGCCATTCGCTTCCAGCTCATCATCGCCATTTGCACCTCAAGAGGAAAATCTTTCGTCCTGCACATATAAGGGCGCAGCACCGCGCTGGATGATCGGCCCTGGGCTGGGCCGAATCGACGAGGAGCCAAAATCTTCAAGCTCGCGGCGCATAGTGTTAAGTCGGGCGTGTCCCCCCACAAGGGGATTTTCGACGAAAAATGAAAGATACGCAAAAAATGCTCCCAAATGGTGAAAAATACTCAAAACATAGTCCCCCGACTATTTTTTACAATTTTTGGATACTCCCCCTGTAATGATGGGCCTGTTTTCCGAGGAGGAGGAGGAGGAGGAGGAGGAGGAGGAGGAGGAGGAGGAGGAGGAGGAGGAGGAGGAGGAGGAGGAGGAGAGTAGTCCCCTGTAGTGTAGTCCCCCTGTAGTCCCCCTTCAGGCAGAGGAGGAGGACGAGGAGGAGGAGGAGGAGGAGGAGGAGAAGGACCCCCTCCACCTCCAACTTATGGTGGTGGTGGTGGTGGAAAACCGGCCCGTCATGTAGAGGGACAGGCCCGACTTAAGCACAGTGTCTGCACAATGCACGGGCGCGGGCTCGAGACGCCTGGGCGCGACCGCACGCGGCCGTGCTGGCCGTCCCCTGCGGCGCCGGCAGCGGAAGCAGAGCACGGCGACCTGGGGCCACGAACTCCCTGAAGGGGCCCAAGGACACACAAATAAATACACACAGACCAAACGGTTCCCCATATGTTCCCATTTGTTTCTGGGTTTTCGTCTTCCCGCCCAATTCACATATTTCCCCATATTTTCCCATATTTTCTTTCGAGAGCGCGAAGTTATTCGCACTTCGCGCTGCGCTAGGCGCGATGTGCGAACAACTTCGCGCTCTCGCGCCGCCTCCCAGGGGAGAAGAGGAGGATGAGGAGAAATCGGAGCCGAACCGCGAAGCGCGAAGCGCGAGAAAGTTCGCGCCCTCGAGGGCGCCCTTACGAAATGTCCTCATCCCCTTGCCGTTCTGGCGCCGATTGCCTCCAACAGAAGCCCCCCATCTGACCTCTAAAGCTGCCGGCAGCGCGTGACCGCAGCTTGCCACATGGGCTCAAGCTGCCCGCAATCATCCTCGCACGGCTGGCTAACAAGTGCCAGCAATTGTCCCAACGACCTAAAACTGCAGTTCCTCACCCCCATGGCGTACCACTGCCAGCAACACATTCTCACCCCCGAACATGTATAAAACTGCTAGCAACATGTCCTGAGCGCCAGCAGACTATCTCGTCACCCCTAGCCTGAACTTGCCAGCAACATCTTCTCATCTCCTGGCCTACTATTGCCGGCAACTGGCCGAACCATTAAAATTACCAGGAACATATTCCCCCCCCCTTGCGTAAAGCGTCGCCAACGAAATATCCTCACTCATATGGCATAACGCTGCCAGCATCATATCCTGAATCCATAGCGTAAAACTGCCAGCAACATCTCCTCACACCCTGGCCTCAAGCTGCCAGCACCTGCGAGATCCTGAACACTGACAGCAACACATCCTCACCCACGGGCGTAAAACTCCCAGCAACATATCCTCACCCCTGGCCTACAACTGCCACCAACATATCCTTACCTCAGACTTTGAGCAACAGATCCTGGCCCTGGCGGCTGAAAACGGCCAGCTCATCATCATCAGCAGCATCATCAGAATCATCATCATCATCATCATCATCATCATCATCATCATCATCATCATCATCACCACCATCAGCACAATCACCAGCACAAGCATCATCATCGTCATCATCAGCAGCAGCACCGTGACCATCATCGTCATCACCATCACCATCATAACCACCATCATCAGCATCGTCACCATCACCACCATCAGCATCATCACCAGCATCATCATCAGCATCACCACCACCATCATCGCCACCACCACGACCACCATCATCATCATCATCATCATCATCATCATCATCATCATCATCATCACCAGCATCATCACCATCACCATCGTCATTTCCTGGCCCAGAATTGACAGCAAGATATGCTCACCTAGTGGCCTACAACTGCGGGCAAAACACCCCCACCACCCGCTGGCGTGGAGCTGGACGCGCCTCCCCGCGCTAGGGGCCCGCCGCGCCGCCGCGCCTGTCCTCCGCACCGGCCGCTTCAAGACCACAAGATGTGGACGGAGGTTGATGACCGAAGGGTCGAACCTACCGTAGGGTCCGTAGGTAGAGGGCGATGGGGGGAGAGATGGAGATCTGTCCCCCTCACGCCCGAGGAAGGCCGGGCGCCGATGATGCCCGAGCCGAGAGGACAGCAGGATGGATGGATAGAGGGAGGCGAGGAGCGGTCCTCACACACACACAGGGGGGCGCCGACGCCACCAGAGCGCTCCAGCTGGACCAGCGAGCTCCCGGCACGAAGTGCCGCGCAGGCGCCCGGAGAGAAGCCGACCGCGCCGGCTTCGCAGCCCGTCGTCGCGCCTTCTCTCGGGGGCGGGCGGCGCGACGGAACGGCCCGTCGACGCCGCCGCCGCCACGGCCCGGGAGGCGAGGCCTCGCCCGCGCACGCCGCGGAGAGCAGGGGCTCGGGCAGCTCGGCGCGAGATGCCGTCCTGGGCCCGGGGAGCGTGGCGCACGCACCACCGCAGGTCATCGCCACGGCGATGGAGCCCTTCGGTGCCAGGCGCGGTGGCTCCCCGGCCGACGTCCTATGCCGGCCGCGCGAGGCCAGGGACGAATCGCAGGACCCCTCGGGCACCCCTCGCTCTGACAGCGGGGGCGGGTCCGAGGAACAACCCTGCTTCGATGACCGAAGCCGGCCGAGCTGAAGCCGAGAGGTGGAGCGGCCCTGACCCCCCCCCCCCCTGCTCGGCGGGCGCAGCAACAGAAGCAGCCCGCGGGGAATAAGGCCGCGGGGGAGCGCGGGCACGCAGTCGGAAGACCGGGACGCAGGAGGAGGAGGAGGAGGAGGAGGAGGAGGAGGAGGAGGAGGATCGAGGAGGAGGAGGAGGAGGAGGAGGAGGATCAAGGAGGAGGAGGATCGAGGAGGAGGAGGAGGAGGATCGAGGAGGGGGAGGAGGATCGAGGATCGAGGAGGATCGAGGAAGGGGTGGTCCCTCCTCACTTCCGCGGGCGCCCGCCAGGCCTGCACCCGCGCAGCCTCCCCTGCCCCTGCGCCCTCCGGCCTCTGCGGACCGCCCCCCGCTGGCCTCCGCGGAGAGCGCGGGAGCTGCGAGGGGGGAGCCCTTAAGGGGGCGGGGGGCCGGCTCGGGGGGGAAGCCTCGGCCGCGAGGCAGGGCCGACGGTTCGGCGACAGGTCGCCCCCGACGGGGGAGAAACACCGCACGCTCCTGGGCAGGCGGGGGGGGGGCCCGTAAAAGGGCGAGAACGCCCTATAGGTCCGTTCCCGTTCCCGTTCCCGTTCTCGTTCCCGTTCCCGTTCCGTTCCCGTTCTCGTTCCCGTTCCCGTTCCGTTCCCGTTCTCGTTCCCGTTCCCGTTCCGTTCCTGTTCCCGTTCCCGTTCCCGTTCCGTTCCCGCCCGGTCGCGTGCCCGTCT